TTACGAATATCAGAAAATCGTAAATTGTGTCGTAATTTTATATAATCTTGTTTGGTTGTTGAAAGAAGAATTATATTAAGGGTTTTTTGAGAGCCTTAATATATATCGTAACCTCTGTGAGTACCGTAAACTAGGCAGGTACAGGTACAGGTACAGGTACAGGTATTTTTGTATCACGGTACATAAAAGTCATACCTACCTACTTTCCTCCTCCACTTCCTCCCCTACCTCACCTCATGCCTCTCTCCCCTACACTCACCCCTCATACCCCTCCCCTACCTCACCCTCCTTACCCTCCCCCCTACCTCACCTCATGCCCTCTCCCTACCTCACCTCATACCTCTCCCCCCTACCTCACCTCCATACCCCACCCCCTACCTCACCTCATACCCCTCCCCCTACCCCTCACCTCATACCCCTCCCCCCCTACCTCACCTCATACCCCACCCCTACCTCACCTCATACCCCTCCCCCTACCTCACCTCATACCCCTCCACCCCTACCTCACCTCATACCCCTCCCCCCCCTACCTCCCACCTCCTTACCCCTCCCCCTACCTCCACCCCTCACCCCCCCTCCCTTGTTCGTCGTGTTTCACTTAGGGCTTTTTAGTAAACAGTTCTTCCTTCTTCTCGCCCACCTTTTGTAGTCAGGTGGTCCCTCACCTAGCCACAAAAGTTCTTCTGGTATAGAAGATAAAAATTTCCACTCTGGACAGCGAGAGGATTTTTTTGTTTTGTGTGTGTGTGTGTGTGTGTGTGGGTGTGTGTGTGTGTGTGTGTGTGTGTGTGTGTGTGTGTGTGTGTGTGTGTGTGTGTTTTCTGGTTACGTTGTGCCGTCTTTATCTGTTTTATCCATTATTCCATTTTTTATCAATTTCTTTCTATTCCTTTTATTCGTTTTTACTCTTGTGTATAATATTTATTGGTGTTTTTTATTTTTTGTATTTTTCTGTGTTTTATTTTCTTATTTTTGGTCTAATTATTCTCTATTTTTCTTGTTTATTTTAAATTATATTGTAAACTACTTCTTCCTTATGTGAGGTGTTGTTGAGAGAGAGAGAGAGAGGAACTATTCAATATTTCTATATCTCTTCGGTACATAAAATGTAATATTTGTTTGGTGTAGATATAGAGAAAGAGAACAGAGAACGAAAAGAGAGATAAGAGCTTCGTTCAGTGCCTTGTGTGGTAGGGCTAACCTCTCTCTCTCTCTCTCTCTCTCTCTCTCTCTCTCTCTCTCTCTCTCTCTCTCTCTCTCTTTATTCGCTGCCTTTGTTGGGTATTTTTTACACGGGGTCACAAAGCAAACGTGATGGTGGAGACCAATTACCCTGTTTTCTCTACTGAGTTCTGAACGGGGGCTGATGTTCATACTATCTTTCGTCTATTTCTTTCTACTCTAATAGGGGGAAATAGGGAGACTGCAGCCCCATTCTCTGAGTTATGGTAGTGTAATAGGGAAAATAGGGAGATTGTGGCCCCATTCTCTGAGTTATGGTAGTGTAATAGGGAGATTGTGGCCCCATTCTCTGAGTTATGGTAGTGTAATAGGGAGATTGGCCCCATTCTCTGAGTTATGGTAGTGTAATAGGGAGATTGTGGCCCCATTCTCTGAGTTATGGTAGTGTAATAGGGAAAAATAGGGAGATTGTGGCCCCATTCTCTGAGTTATGGTAGTGTAATAGGGAAAATAGGGAGACTGCAGCGCCCCATTCTCTGAGTTATGGTAGTGTAATAGGGAAAAATAGGGAGACTGCAGCCCCATTCTCTGAGTTATGGTAGTGTAATAGGGAAAATAGGGAGACTGCAGCCCCATTCTCTGAGTTATGGTAGTGTAATAGGGAAAAATAGGAGACTGCAGCCCCATTCTCTGAGTTATGGTAGTGTAATAGGGAAAAATAGGAGACTGCAGCCCCATTCTCTGAGTTATGGTAGTGTAATAGGGAAAAATAGGAGACTGCAGCCCCATTCTCTGAGTTATGGTAGTGTAATAGGGAAAAATAGGAGATTGGCCCCATTCTCTGAGTTATGGTAGTGTAATAGGGAAAAATAGGAGGACTGCAGCCCCATTCTCTGAGTTATGGTAGTGTAATAGGGAAAAATAGGGAGATTGTGGCCCCATTCTCTGAGTTATGGTAGTGTAATAGGGAGACTGTGGCTAATTTACAGGTGAGGTAATAGGGTTGTCGAGTGTAGTGCCAACCAAGCCAACTTTTCACACACTTTTACTTTCTCTCAGTTAAATATTTTAGCATTTTCCCGAGTCAGTATGCAAATGAGGTACTTTTACTCGTATACAGGGTAGTTCACTCGTTGATAGCTCCGTAATTTTTGCTAATTTAACCTTTATTAATTAGTAAAAGAACACGTCATAACCCATTCTTCCCTCCACACAGACATCGCAGCCCCTGATTGGTGGACAAGAATGGTGACGTCACATCCCAGTGGGCCAATCCTGGTACTCGTCGTCTGCTTTTCTCTGCTCTCTCTACCCTCAG